CCCCTCACCCTCCGCTTCCGAGGGGAGCAACCCTCCGTGGTCGAAGGTGAGGGCACTGTTGTGAAATTTGCTATCACCCATGCACTCCAGTCGCCCTCTACACCTGCCCCGACCATTATATAGCTCCTGAAATAGTAAACTCCAGATATCTCCTCCACAAATAAGGACTGCCTCCCTCGTTAAACCACTTGATCTGGACTGCACGTTTCACTCATAGTACAACTGCTATACAATTGCCTTACTTTTTTCTTGGCAATACGATCGCAGCTCGAGCCGAAGATATCTCGTCTTTGATGTCTCGTGCAGCCGAGATTATCAGATCACCGGTCTCCATAGTAAACTTCCGCGATTGAGAGAGCTCTGCTAATCGAGCATCGACTTCACAAGATTGCGTCGACGCACGAGCAATCAGATTGCCCAAATCCTGAAGATAATAGATATAACCTAGAAAAAGAGCTATTTTGCAGTCAAGTAAAATACCCACAAATCAAAACTAAAAAAATAATATATGCAGAAAAACAGAGCTAAAAAGCAAAAAAAACCAAATCAGGGAATTTGAGCCCCAAATTATGCGCGTAGTATGCAGCGCTACTTCACTTATACTTATACCTTATACAGCTTCTGATCAATTAGAAATGTTCGTACCTGTAACTGCTGTAATTTCCATTGAACATCTGGCTGTGCAACAGCTCGAAAGACACCTCCTGCAGACTTCGGGTTTTTCAGTATAATTTCTGCTTGAATTACATTGTCACCGAGAAGCGTCACATAGGCCTAAAAAATTTCAAGTATGTCTCTTTCTTCAACTGAAGCGGAAAAATTGACTGGTATATAAGCCTGCTCGCCGATTATGCAAAAATACTGGACAAAACGAGGTGTTCATAGGTATACCTTCAGCGCTTCAGATCCATGTTTGCCTGCTAAAAAATGTCTCTCTGCCTGGGGTTGTGAAACAGGGACTCCCAATCGAAGATCACATTTATTTCCAAGGTGTAAGCGTATACAGCACTCACGAAGACATGCCAGCACCTGAATATAATATCTTAAGATATATTCCATCCGAAACACTGAAGAACTTACATTATGGAAAGTTTTTCGAGCCCTATTGGACTGGATCCAGATGAATTCCTTCTTCAAGTTCTCCTGACACTCCTTTTCGTCTTCTAAAACTTTTGAAACTAAGAAAATCCTAGAGCTCTAGCAGAAAACAGAAAAATGGGTAATAACAACACAGTTTTTTGATACCACCATAAATAGGAATGTCGTTCTAAGAACACCTCGCATAATGGAACGTTACATGCTCAAAAATTCGGTATACAACAAATAATTATTCATGCTCACACTCGAAACGACTAAAATCACACAAGCAGATGCACAAACACTGCTGGGAACGTGGAGTAACCTCTTCACTAGAGCCGCATGCACGCCTATCCTTCTGACCGACATGAAACATGAAATGCGAAAGGAGCGCCCAAGACGCGATCCCCTAGTCAAGGGTTTATGGAAATTCCAATCCTGTCCATAGGCTCATGTCCTGATTAAGACCTAGTTTTAGCTTTGCTTGGGAAGAGGAGAGCTTCCACCGAACATAACAGTGTACTAGGAATCCCAAAAAAATTTTGGCTGGAACCTCATCTATGGAGGTGGTTTCGTGTCGTGATCACCAATAGGATATCCATCTTTGGCGCTAACGCAATTTAAAGCCGTGGATGTTCTCTCTAATGCAGTGATAACGTTTGTAGGAGTTATTTGTTGGCCTGATCCGGAATATGGCAGCTCATTTTTGGCGCTAGCGCAACGATTAATGAACTTTTTAAGCAACTACTACAGAACTGGAAGATACAATTCAAAATCTCGATGAGATGATCTTATGAACTTTTTTAACTACATTAAGCAAGTATTATATTTACTTTGGGATTCAAATGTGAAAGGAATATTACGTCACATATGCTCAGCCACAAGAATACAAGGTGCAATTACCTTCGAGAGTAAAACCCAAAAGTATGTGAAATTTCAGTAGAGCTTATGATTATGAGAAGATACCGCGAACATTCGTTCCGAAAGAAGCAAACAAGCTTGCGCACCTACGTTGCAAAATCCTTTAATACAATTCTGTCACATTGTTCCGTCTGGGTTATGGGCTACAACAAAAAGGCAGTATCCCGGAAATATACAAAATCTCGTTTCTGAGCCCTGATTCCTTGATTCTTGCATATCTGCTTACATCGCAATCTGAATTCATCTCTGCAAAACCTACGTACTAACGTTGACCACAGAACGACTTAAAGTAAGGCTGCGGGTCTACCGGCAAATGTCACGACAACAATTTCACTCAACTGAAATTAGAAAATAATAGTAATCAGACCTTTATTAGTTTCCGAGGTCTTCGTCTTCTGAATTTATAGCAATTCTTTCAAACAAAATTAGTAAACAAGAGGGTTGGTAACGCAGGTTAACAAATAAACTGCAGAAGAAAAAAAAACACACCTTCAGGATGGAGGCGGGCGTGTCCCAACATGACCTCCGCAGTGGACATTCAATCTGTATTGATGCATGACATTATGTAATGGCTGAATGACACATCATCAAAAAGAGGTGAAAAAAGCTTGGAAATGACTAATCAATTATGATATTCAGAAAACCATACAAGACAATTTGTTAACAATACCAAAGTCTAAAGAATTCTAATTATTCTACCACTACAATCCCGAACGGATTCACCACTGGAACCCTAAAAAATCAAAGAGAAAGTGTTTGGCCGAAATTTGACCTGCAAAAGGAATAAGACAGTAGGTCTACATTTAATCACGGAAATAACATCTATTTCCGGCACAAAAGTCACTGTGGCTCCAAATTGACACACCGATACGTCAAGGCTACCAAGCGCGGGGAAAATTTGTTGTCGCAAAAAAAATGTATTGGCTGCTCGTGGAACGCACGGGCGAAGATGAAACTGCGATTCGGCATGAGGAACCCGGGACTCGGTAAATCACTTTACTCCCAGCATTGACAGTGCTATTTGGTGCTAACTTAGTTGGGGGGGGGGGGGGGGGGGGGCACGCGGCGGCGCGGCAGTCTGCTCACCTGGGCTCTCTCGAGCGAGACAGTGTAAACTCGAACATTCCAGCTTTTCACGCATGTCAAGTGACTGCCCCCACCCCCCCCCCTAGACTGGCTACACTCCCCCTGGCCCACGGATTTCCGAACATGCCAGGCGAGCAGACTGCCGCGCCGCCGCGTGGCCCCCCCCCCCCCAACTAAGTTAGCACCCATCATTTCTCACTTCATGAAACACCCAACACTTACCCAGCTAAAAACTGAAGAGCTTTTTCACGGTTCACGTGTAAACTTGCCGAGCCGAATCAAAAGCTACCGCAAACACTTTACGTACTCATCAACAATACAGTATGACAAAACTCTCACGATTGTCTATCAGTGGCGAGCGCTTTTCAATCTTTCAGAGTAAACAGTGGTGTCAGTTGACTGCCTAGTTTTGTTTTGTCTTTTCTTTTTTTATTCGTCTTTACTTTTCTTTTTTCCTCAACGAGAATGTAGATACTGAAGATCAGCTCGCTTGCCGCAGGGAGTGAATGTTCCCCTTTGTCTAGTTTCACGTTTTCCTTGGCTCAAAGGCCGACGTCATACTTTGCGAATCGAGCGAATCGCTAGCGAATCGCTCGAGTCGAGCGAATCGCTAGCGAATCGCTCGAATCGCTAGCGAATCGAGCGAATCGCTCGAGTCGAGCGAATCGCTAGCGAATCGAACGATGCACCAGCGATTCGAACTAGGTGCCAGCGAATCGAACTAGGTACCAGCGAATCTTGCATAAAGCTTGAAACTAGGGTGTTAGGCACAGCAAAATTTCGGCAATGCTATGCAGTTTTGAGGGGGTTATTGGATCAGCAGATTCGATATTGCTGCGGCAATGCTATCTCACGAAGAGCAGCAGTATCGCCTTAAAACTTATCCAATACGAGTCATAGCGGTTATCATTACGAATATAACTTCATTTTTGGAGTCGTTACCATCACAATTCGATGGAAAAAGCTGTTTCGCAAATCCGCAGCGGCGTCACGTCACGTGGTGGCTTTTTACTACTTGCTCCTTCTCCCGCTAGGGTCGTAATAATGTAGTATTGTAAAGGACTACACATGAACTGGTCTAATGGTCTGTCTAAATTTTGATAAAAAGCGCTTTTTCAACCATGACTAATAATAAGATCGTGTATAGGGGTTATAGCCGCCTTCGGGGTTCTACAGAAGTTGGTCGGGTCTGTAGATAGTTGCATGTGTGCTCAAGAACTGGATGATGAAGGAAAATGAATAGTACTTTGGGCTCGTTCTTGGCTGCCTGCCCAATCTGTTAGGGAAGACTTCGTGTAGGGTATCAACAAGAGCTGAAATAGATGAATCATTAGAGCTTAGCCTTAGTAATGCAAACTATTTAGATGTTAGCGAGTGATTTGTAAAAATTCGTATTGTTTGAGGTTGTCCGCTTTACAGCAGTGTTCTTAGCTTGTACTTTTGTATTAGTATTAGTATTGATGAAATAACATGATGCGTGAGGCCTTGTTGAGAACATAGAAAGACCCCAAGAAAAAAAAAGGTCGGTAAGACGCTGTAAAGGACTAGGATATGTGCCAACACGTCAGCCTTTTCGTCTGATCCACCCAATCGCTAGCCCAGCAGGTGTCTTGGTTTGCATTGGTGCATATGCGATTCTTGATATGCATTTCTTGCTGGAAGGAACCAGCAATAAATGCCGGCAAAGCAAACTATTTCGGACAGCTCGTCTGGCCACACCTCTCCTTCGCCAGCGAATCGCTCATTTGCAAAGACATCGGCCTGAAGTGGAAGAGGGGGAGTCTTCGTTTGAGGGCTTCATCGGCGATTTTCTTTGTTTCTTTTCTCATTTGCAGTAAACTCGGCATCCGCATTTTCATTATCGACCGCTTTTACCTCGCCAAATCGATCTGGAGGTGTTGCTTTGAGCACCAATTTTCGACAGTCTAATATTCGAATTTTTTTTGTGTGAGATATTATGAAAAACAAGTAGTATCTGCGGCCAATAGCATGAACTGTAACTTAAGTGCTTTCGATTGCGCTCATGTTCAAGCTACAGTGTGCTTCGGACTCGGTCGACCTATAAAATGTGTTGAAAGCGTTTGGCCAAAACGTAGAGTTAGTGTGGTGTTGCTTCGTATATAGCGATTTACCCGTGATGTAGTCTTGATAGCGGAACTTGGTTCTTAAAAAAGTCAAATATGAGATGTGGCATGGTGTATGTTTGTCATAACACAGTCAAACAAAGCTTTTGTGGGAGGCAGTTGATGGAATGTCATTTGTTGGTGAAGCATCGCTCCAGTTCCTAACGTGCTTGCATTATGCTGTCAAAGCATTCAACTCCGTGAAGTGACCTCGCCCAATCCCTCTCCCCTCGCTGGTGCGACTAGTTGGGAGCGTACGTAGCAACATTCAATGGTAATAAGCATAAGACTCATGTGAAGCTTTCAAGAATTTGACGTACCCCATAAATGATTATAGTTGCGATCAGTCCCCACAATAGCTGTAAAAGTTTGAACTGTGTGAAATGGACGGTTTCCATTCAGAGGGGATGTCAGAAGGAAAACTGAGAATGTTCATGGAAGGTCTCATTAATGCAAACACAGAGAGAACATTGTAAGTTTTAAGCGTTGAACGAGTTGGCACTCGAGCGAAAAAAAAGACGGTAGGCTAATTTGGGCATTTTTCGCTAGGAAAGGACGGTTTGCTCATGATACGCAGTGGAGTTTCTGAACTACATGATAGGAACCTGAACTTGGCCGTCAAGTTTCTATTTTTTGGCGCAGATACTTGAAGGCAAACATTTCCGAGATGCCCCTCATCATATGAAAAAGTCCTTATCAGTGAGCTTTCCTGTATCCTCTATCAATTAAGATCAATCAAAGACGCCGATGTACAAAGATTACTGCCGCGGCACTGTAGTCCATTTGAATTTGAATGAAGCCCAACGGTGTTAGATATTGACTGACATGATCGAATAATTTAATTACTCCTTGTATAAACCAGTCAACGAGTACCTATAGTGGACGAAATAGGGGAGTAAAACGCGAAATTCGGAGGTTGTGTGGCCTCACCAAAGGCTCTTTGTCCGGCGGCAACCACACACTCACTCAAAACCTAGCCTAACACCCTAGTTTCAAGCTTTATGCAAGATTCGCTGGTACCTAGTTCGATTCGCTGGTACCCAGTTCGAATCGCTGGTGCATCGTTCGATTCGCTAGCGATTCGCTCGACTCGAGCGATTCGCTAGCGATTCGCTCGATTCGCTAGCGATTCGAGCGATTCGCTAGCGATTCGCTCGACTCGAGCGATTCGCTAGCGATTCGCTCGATTCGCAAAGTATGACGTCGGCCTAAGGGAGAAAAGTGAAATACAAAAGAACAACGACGTGAAAAGTTAGAGAACAAACCGCAAAACTATTCTTGCTAAACCGAGTCTCTTTTGCTGCCTTCTAAACAGTTTTCTATTTCTTGCCTTGTTAAAATTGCGAGATAAAACAGAAGCTCTTATGTGGCCAGGTAATTGGTAATTTTAGTGGGTACCACCTAAGGCTGCAATGAGGTTAGCAGTGACGGTTGCGGTAGTATTGCTGGTGCTAAGCCATTGCAGCAATTCTGTATCGGCGGAAACTGAAGACAACGAGTTTGCTGAGTTCGAGGTAAATGTAAGACCTTAAGGGGTTTGGAGTTTTCAAACTCGGCGGCCATTTCTGTCAGATGATGTGGTGTTTAGGATGAAGAGATGGAAGAGGTTGAGCAAGTCCAGCCGAGTAGCCATAGCACTGATAAGAAAGTTGTGAAAGAAGAAGTACAAAAGCAGGTTAGCGTTTATTTCTATTCAAAAGGTTTGTTAATTCTTGCGAACTGGTTCGTATTGCTCCATACAAAGGCGTTCCTTGTTATAAAAAAGGAAACATAAACTGGTTTTGCCATATTGTGTACCTCTGTGTTCTTCAAGAAAGCAGACGACTTCGATGACGACTATGGAGTTGTAGAGGATGAGGACGAAATGAAGGAAAAGGAGGATGAACAGCAACCAGTACAGCCGTTGAAATTTGCGGATGTGAGTGTTTCCCTCCTCAGTGCTTTCTTCGATACTTGTATGGAACCTGTTTCATTCAGTTTCATATCCATTTGGGCACACCGATCATGATTTTCAAGACAGTTGCCCACATTAAGGGCTACCAATATAGCAGTTGGTTGCACTACTGCGACTGCGACAGCGAAGCTTGCTTTGTTCTCTCTGGATGCGCCGTTGTTATTCATCTCGTTTTGCTCGCTGAGTGTAACTGATAATGACATGGGTTTTGAAGGTTCTCACCCCTTTGGAACGAAGTAGGCCCTCCAGCTGTGTTCTTTGAACACTTCGAATTACTTTCGTAGTACATGTGACAGATTTGAGTACCTATAACTTTTTCGAAGGCTCTGTTCATCATTTGACATCGTACACTCGCAAAATTGCCACTGCACTTGTGCTGCATACATTTTGCATACTGATGTTGCGCGATATGGCAAACTAATACACGCCTGCCCAAGTGTATTAGCATTTCATTATGCCCCCGCCTTCCTAATGTCAATTATTCGGTAGTATTGTACAGGGCCGTAGAATTGTATGCGCATTGAAAGATTTTTCAGTAGTTCACAGTGCTACAAACATTTGAAGAAATTCACTGAAACTCGTGCACGGATGAAGGTTCTTTACAGTAGTGCTTGGGCAGTAAGCAATTTTTTGCAATTTTCCAACTCCCAAGGTTCGTCGTTAGTTTTTTGTTGCTGGATCGCTATACAACTATAATTTTTTAGTTGTTGTGGTGTCCCTTTGTAAGGTCAAAGAGACCGTCGAAGTCAGGCATTCAGTTTCTGTACTACTTGATAGACACTGATTGTTTTCTGGGGTCCTGTTGAGTTGGAGCGATTAGGAAACCTTGCTTAGTACATCACGGGGGGGCAGGTGATTAGAAAAACACTTGTGGAAGCACTGTTTGGCGGGTTTGTGGATATGCTGAGCGAAGTGCTGTTCATTTATTGGTGCATTAGCATTTAAATTAGGATCGGCGTGGATGGAAACAGGTCAAGCTGTTATATATTTCCTTTCAGTCATCTTGTGGCGCGAGAATAGTTGTGGAGTATGCATAAATGGTAGTAAAAAAGTTTACTGTTCAAGGCCGGCATTTTCGGTCAAATTGGGCCTCCTATCAAGTGAGCTTTGTCTAGACACTGATTGCCATGTATCTACTTAATTATGTCATCGGTCGAAACACTAATCAATCGATGGCATTGGAATGGTTCGATAACGTCAGAAGTCTTCTTGAGCAGCAGTTTGCTTTGGTTAGTGATTATAATATTTGTTCCTAATTTTTACAGGGTGGCTAATATTAGACAAGCATTCTGTTTTTGCGAGCATTTTGTGGTCAAGAGCAACTCTATGGCGGCGTTCTCCTTTTTAGGGTGGTAGTGGAGACGAGACGTGGTAAGATGGAGGGTGGTGCGGGCGGATTTGCTTATCCAGAGATGGTAGGAGCTGGGGCTTGTTCATGAGGGATGACTGCTCGTATACGGTCTGGGTGTTCAGGACGAATTGGAGTTAACGGAATGCTCATTCAGGTGTTGTTCAGGCTTGATATTTGTTTTCTTGCACTTTTTTCTGCTGCGGTACCGTTCTGAAATGCTCCCTACATTCATTTTTATGTTTGTATTTTATAATGCTATCCTGCTCGTTTTATTTCGGATTCATTGTTTTAAGATAAGAACGATGAAGCGTCAAGATCTGATGAGTCGAATTATGGCATTCTTCACTCCACAGAAGGATGTCATCACATTCAAGGTATATACAGTTGTTTTCGAAGCTTTTTGATTGATGCCCTCGGTTTTTGTCACGTGGAAATGATCTTTGCAGCCGGTTATGCATCAGGTTCCATATCTTATGGTGATTCTAGATTCGGTCTTTTGATTTATTTTGTTTTATTCGCTCTGTTTTGGACACCTGCGAAACTTACAGAGACTTATAAAGTCTAGAATCCAGTTTTTATAGGATCTAGACTTGGTGATAAAGAATTTGTATCTAGCATTGAATTGCAGTTGGAGTTGGATCCTGGAGAGTTGGATTCATTCGTGATGATCTTTGGCCAAAAGAAATCTGTTGTGAAGCAGTACAAGGAAATGCTAGACCTTGCTACCTACACTGTTGAGAAGAAGAACACATCCCAGTTTGGGTTGCCGGCTAGGTGAGTTCCACCAAGGATTTATTTTTTTCAATGTGAACTTGCTGATGAGTTCAGAATTTGTCTCTACAAATTTGCTTTATTAGCTTCCATTATCAGTTTCGCCCTCTACGCTGAACAGTCTGAGGCTACCTACGCAATCTTTGAACCGGGAGTTGTTGCAATTCTTCGCAAATACGAAAAAGCAATTGAACACGTGCATATCTCGGATCAATACAGTGGCCAAAAACCGCCAGAGTATGTTTTTCTCTCGAAATTTTCAATATAATTGTCCATTATAATATTCATGAAGGGGAGAAACGTATACACGGTTACCTGAAGTCGTTCGATTGGTACAGTTTTGTCTGAATTTGGACGAGTGTCGCGACAAGGAAGCACAAGCAGAGCTTCTTCACTTGATGTTCTATGTTGTGGACAAGGTGAGCCTCGCTTTTTTTGGATAGCTGCACTGGGAATGAGTAAAATATATCGTACGGATTAGGTACGCAAATTCCGCATGAGTAAAGAGGCGAAGCAAAAAGCGGACAAGAGAAGGCGCGAGGTTGAAGAAGCATTCATCAAGACCACTCATCAGTTGAGACAAGAAGCAGCACAGGTAAGCAACCATAGCCATCTATTTGCTTAGCGAAACCCTTGCGAAATTTATTTTTGACTCCGCATATGCAAGGCAGAGGCCTTAATTTGGTCTTAGTGTTCAAGTATCGCTCTAGTCAACTGGTTGCTAATCCCACATTTCAATTATTGCGTTTAGGCCCGTCGTGAAGAAAAGACGCGGGAACGAAAGCAGCGACTTCTAGAGGAGGAAGATCCTGAGAAACAGAGACGCCTCGAGGTGCGTAATTCTCATTAGGCTCTACTATATGAATATTTATCAAGTTAACGAAGTTTTGGCCGTTCATTTTGGCTAACTTGCTAGTGGCTTTTCTCCTATTTTGCTGAATATTTTTTATTTCTGAATATATTCTATTCTGATGATTTCAATATTTTGTGACAGCCACGCATTTTGATAAGAGGCATCTCTTGCATATCTCTTTGTGTGTGGGGCATACACGGGAACAGAAAAAAATCGTTGATTTTGCATGAGCCAAGTTTAATTCGAAAGCAAGTTCTGGAGCTGGTCGCAGACTGGTAAAACATGGGGGAAAACGCGATTGTGGTTAACGGGTTCTAAGACGTTTAATAAAAGACCGAATTGAGTCAGATGCGAGGGTCATCCGCGTTCCAATTTTTTTACTGTCCGGGAGGCCCCTTTTTATACGACGTGTAAATCCAACGCTTGAACAAGTTCGCAAGTGTTGTTCATCAAACGTGCAGGAGATTGCGATTGCGGGTTACTCAAACGTCAAACAAATATCATCATAATCCAACCTAACAATGGATCTAATTTTTCGAGATGGTGATCACGTTTTGCTGAACTGAGTTTGGAAGAAATGCTTTGTCATTTCTGGTTATAGCTAGTAGCGGGCTGAGGAAAGCGATCAAGAGTGCAATAGTGAGATTAGTTGTCCTAACCTTGATAAACGAAAAGAAAATATGCAAAAATTATCTGTAGAAACAAACACAACTTTATAAAGTGGTTCGTTCCGCTCTAATTTAGACGAAACTCATTGCTTCCATACCTCGGGAGATGAATTCTTTTTTGTTGTTCGCTGTCCAACTGTTACTGTATTATATCTTTATCTTTATCTTTGTCCTAGAAATGTTGCCATAGAAATAGCAATACTATACATGTAAAGTAGAAAGATTTAAAAGTGTGTGAATTTCCTTCCAACAGGACTAAAATCGTTGTGGATTTGTCGTACCACTTGTGTGTTTCACGACTTTATCTTTAGAATATCATCATAAAAAGACCCTCGTAAAACTTATTCCACATTCAACGTCGTTAGACGTGTGAGTGCTGAAAGCTATGGTACGTATACCATGAAAAGCTGAGTTGGAATGAAATGGTGCCCCGGTAGCGTAACTGGTAGCGCACTTGCCCGGAAAGCGAGAGGTGCGGGTTCTAGTCCCGCCTGGGGCGAAAGTTTTGTTCACAACCCAGCATTCTTGTGAAAATTGTTCGATAACCTTTTGCAGGTACAAGAAAGAGCTTAAAGAGTTATTTCAAGTAGTAGTATTTCCAGAAACTGGAAATGAAACGAGAAGCGAAGGCAAAGCAGCCCAAGATGAAACAGCTCAAAGTGAAAATGTGAATGGTATCGATTCGTCTGTCAATGTTAGACGGTTTCGTGGATTTTTTTGTTGAACTAATTGTTGTTGCCGATGATGTTGATCTGTCAGATTGCGACACAGGTTGTTATAGGCACGGTTTTTAGGATATTATCATCTAGAGGTGAACTTACTTTTTGTGACGTGTGTATTTATTTATAAATGTTTCTCTGGGAAATAATCCTATCCTTGTTAGCAGCCATCGAGTATGATTATCAGTGATTACATTCGCTTAGATCTTTTATCTTTTAAAATTTTCTTCTGTCGTTGATTTTTTTGAACATGTTGAATTATTATGGCGAAATACTTTTGCTATAAAGTGTGTTTAGTGTGTTTGAAAATCATGATTCAATAAAACAAGCTGATTTACGCATACCTTTAATATTGTTTTGCTGCAGAATGTTAACCTTGCTCTATTTTCTTTTCATATTTTTTTCGATTTTTTTTCTAAGATTTCAGCAGTCAGTGCAGTTTTTCGCTCATTGCTATTCAATTATGAAAATTGTATACGCATGATGAGAACAGAAATATACTCCGCTTCCGGAAACCAGTTGCGCGTCCAGTACAGACCACACACCACAAATGACGATGGCATCCAAGTAAATCTGGTAACTAGTGATTCATATTGATAGCTGCAGTTGGTAAATGATTGTTGTAATCAGTGACAACCGATAAATACAGCTGCAACCGGCCTTTTTTATCCCGGCTGGACAGAACATTGGTACATTTTGTTTTGAAGAGCCGTTGTCACTTGTGGTGGTTGGTTTGCCACTCACTCGCAATCTGATTTTCGAAAGCGAAGATACGTCCTAGTCTTGTGCGTTACACCAAGTTGTGTGAAATAATAAGGTATCCTGAAATGAGAATGCGCTCCTACCTTTGTGCCGAATTTTCTTGATCCTAACTAAATATTTCCCGAAATTCCATGAATACTGAAAAGCAGGATGCGAAACATGACAGTGAATTCTGACCAATTTTAACACCCCCTACCCTCTCAACGGCCAAAGAGTTAGTGCAACCCGAGCTCATTCGGGTGTCGTGTCAGGGCGGGTGGTATAGTGGCAAGTAGCGCTGCTCACCACGCACGCGGTTCAGAGATCGAACCCTTGGTCGTGCGTCGTCCCGGGCCAACCTAACCTTCAGTCAGGTGCCTCTACGAATGTACAAGTGGAGTAGGATGCGCGCCGCATCCCAAAAGGGATTGATCAACAGTGGATGCTTTACCCTTTATCCTACCCTTTATCAGTAGTCCAGTTCTTGAGGACCCGCTGGGATGTACTGGCTTGGGCGAAATTGAATGTGCATCATGGCGCTTTGCGTCTGCTCTGAATCCAGAGCTCGTTAATAGCGCTCTAAAAGCGCTATTTCCAGAGGTAAACGTTAGCTTTGCTGTTAGACAAGACCAGGGATGCTGCATTTCCTTGGGCTTGTTGGAATCCCCGCGAAACTTTCTATCAAACTTTTTACAATTTGTATGCTTTACACCATGCCGGTGGTCTGAAGCATATAGGTCATACATGCACCTTTTCCTGTATTAATCAGGGTCAACCGTCCGTTCGAACTTGTTCGAACGGGGGGGTGGGGGTTCGCATTTTGGGTTTTGGGGGGGAGGGGTCGCATTGAGCTTGGTCATCATGGCAGGGTAGAGGTGTCGGCCGTTTGCCGTTTTCTAAAAAAAGTTTTACCCCCCCCCCCCTTCGACGGCTATTTTTGGGGAAAAAGTGGGTGGAGTTTCGGAGTTTTAGGTAGGTTTTGGGCTGTGTCAACTGGTCTCAGAATCAAATACTATAGAAGAGGGAGAGGTCGCGGTGGGGGATGGCTGGGTTGTATTGGGGGGTCGCAATTGTGTATTGGTGGGGGTCGCAACTGGACCCCTTCCAGAGGGAGGGGTCGCAAAAATCCCGAAAATGTTCGAACGTGACGGTTGACCCTGGCGTATTAATTTTCCATCTGGCGCTAGGCATGCAGAATTGTAAAGTATTCGACGGTGATCAGTCCATTTTGGGATGCGCCACGACTTCCTCCACTCAGAATCGTAACGGCAATTTCGAATGCGATACGGCCTGTGGAATAACCTGAGGGTCTAGCTGTTGTACAAGTCACCATACCCTGTCAGCGTACCCTCGAAGACAAGTCTGGTACCAATTTACCGTCTTTGGACGGATCTTGGTAGGCGAACATCGTACAGTCCGAAAGTTTTTATCCCCGGTTCCGCTAACTAAGTTCATCTCCTTTGAAGAGGGAGTGGGATTCAATTGTAATATTGTAATGGGCGAAAAGGCTGAATGGAAACGTTTTTATGCAGACTTGTGCAATTCTGTGAGCTCCGAGGAAGAATTTGGGTGGAAAGAAAAGAGGCCCTTAGGAGAAGAACATTTACTGAACTTAAAATAGCAATCTTCATTACACATCACAAGAGTTGTTTAAGTGGATGTTCGCTACCTACAAAAATAGGTTATAAAAAATCAGTTAACGCAAAGTTGGAATTTTCCAGGTTTACATGTCTCAGAAGAACAATCACCGACGTTACAACCCTTTGCTTGACGAATGGGTGATTGTGGCCGGTAATAGAGTTTCAAGACCATGGCAGGGAGCTAATACTGATGCACCGTCTTTCACAACGACGAGCGAACAAATTCTCTGGCACCCGGCGGAAAGCGCCACAACGACGTGGTCAGCTCGGTTAAGCTCCACATTCCCTTTTTTCGTTTTGTTGTACGCTCTGCTTCTCAAAATCAGAAGGGCGTCGAGTGCACCCCACATCACAAGTGACGATGGCCTCCAAGTAAAACTGGTAACTAGTGATTCATAGTGATAGCTGTAATTGGTAAAGGATAGTTGTAATCAGTGACAACTAACAAATACGGCTGCAACTGGCTAATCATCCCATTGTCAAAAAATTACATTTTGCGGAGGCCGTCATTTGTTATTGTTCTGCATTGGGACGCACTTTGGTTATCGAAAAAACCAGTGGTATACATGCTACTGTAGTTTATTGCATTTGGCACATTAACATTTGTTAGAGGAATTTGATTTCGATTGTCTTTCAAACATTTCATTTTATAATTTATTGGATCAAATTATATTTACTAGTGGGCGCCTGCACGCTGTTACGCTCACTACACGAGTATCTGCGGGCGATATGGAAATTGGTGCGGGTAAAAATATCAATATTTTGGTGTCGTTACACTACTAATAGTCTTTGGCCTTCTGAGCTAGATTCTTATTCCGCTCTCTTCCCATGTCCATCCAACTATGGCTTATGACCTTCCACTTCATTCAATCAACATGTTCCCGCTCTTTTCTTGGTCTCCAGAACTGCCTTTCTGAATCGACTTACCAAGTTCTAAGTTGATTAAACTCAGCCCATTGGTGCATTTGCCAGCCCAACCAATAGCAATTTGCCTTCTTTCTCGCCAACTTCTACCCCCTTTTTCGCCGGTCTCCGAAACTTTTTCTTGGAACCGAAGGATTTAGTTGAAGACAAACTCTCGCCCACTTTTGTGCACCACCGACGCCCACCCAAATAGCAGTAGCTCCTTCTTCTATTCCCTGCTAGCTCTTAAGCAAGGGCATATACAGTGCGTACCAAAAGTATGTGGACACCCTAGAATCGATTCTCAGGAGGTCAGCTAAAGGCTTTTTGTGTTATGAAACCTTCACCATTCAACTCCTAGTGGTCGATAACCTACAATGACATTTTCGGCAAAAGATTTCGTTCTAACTTAGCGAACTATTTTTCATGGAAAGTTTTTTCTTTGTATCAAAATTATGTGGACACCCTGAGGCAGATGAAGTTTTTGCATCGATTTCCTAACCTATTTTTACTTCTCCTTTCGTTACTTATTCTGGCATCATTCCTCTTCACGGCAAGCGTTTTTCTGAAGAAGACCGAGCACAGAAATGGGATCCCCATGCTTCTGAACAACACTGCTCTATTTCCGCTAATATTGGCGACTACCATATCTTCCATAGGCTTACATTTTCGTCCAACAATTACTGCCTCACAGCTTATCGATTGATAACGCGAGGATAGCAAATCTAGCGTGGAAGCCAGCGTGACTGCTTCCTTTAACACTCACAACGATCCTAGCAGAGCCTGTCCCCATGCCAACAGTGAGACCACAATCTTCCGATATGAAACGCCCTTGAAAGATCACAACTCTTACGCGATGCCTTTTGCAAGCAGCAAGTATGATGATCTCTGGCAAAGCATGCACTGAATTTGATGCGATGGACACTTCCCAAAATCAATGTTCTCTTTTCAAAGTTGTGGAGTAAAGCAAATGTGACAAGACGACCTTATGTTTAGAGCAGGAGACGGAGCAGGACCTTTGTAGAATGAGAGTCCTTTTAAAACCTCTTATCGAA